AAGCTGGACATTTTTCATGCAGTTCAACGAATTGTTAAAACTATCCCAAAAGGCACAGAAGTCTCACGGCAAATTTCTAAAGATTTTGGATTGATATTTAGAAAGGATGGAGACTGTGGAGACAGTCGTGAACAGCCGACTCCAGACCCAGATGTAATTGAGCAAAATCTCAACACCTTTCTGTCGAGGTGGCAAGAAGTATTTAAATCTGATTCGCAATCCAAAACCTTACACGAAATAGACAATTTAAAAATGCACATTCGTAAAGGATGTTTGTCCCGAATTCCTCCTGGTTATGGTACAGAATACAACGAGCGACTCCACCACACAATAAATGACTCTCTTCTTTGTGGATCTTCAACAATCAGTCCTGAAATTGCGATTGCGGTTTTAAGTTTAATTTTTTACGGAATTAATTGTCAAAAAAGTGGGAAGAAACACAAAAACAACGCTAGAATTGTCCCATTTATACCTCTTCCGAAACACAGCTTGTTAACTGGAGACGAGATGAATGGCAAAAAGAAAAATCGTTTTTTTAAGGTCAATGATCGGGAAGAAGTTCAAAACAATGTATGCGACAAGGTATGGGACAGAATTGATGTTCAAAATGACGACAGTTCACACAATGAACCTATGATGTTATTAGCTGAAAACATAGAGGACGTGCTAAATGATACTGTGTCAACTATGATATGTGATAACACTGTCAAATTATATGAAACTCTGAATAAAGTTGCCGATCAGTGTAATGACAGAAGTCTTAACGTGCACGATCTGCCCGTTATGCAGCTGATTGGTGTTAAAAACTTGAAAATGCTAATAACGGATGATGAAATGGACGACAATTCTCAACCTGCAAAAGAAGTACTTTTGTCAAGAAATTTGCAATCATTCAATTTATGCATCGATCCTGTGGAAGGCGATGGAGACTGCGCTTTTGCAAGTATCATCAAACAAATACGGAAATCAACCAAGTGGAAAACTGAAGCAAATACTCATTTCCAACAGCACCTGACTGATTTGGGCTTAGGTGGTAGTTTTGATGATGACGTTTTCCGTCTTCGTCAGCTTTTCGTCGACTCCGTACAAAGTAACGAAAGCTACCAGATGTTACTGGGAGTCGACGAAATGGAACTTAATTACGAAACAGAACGATTTCGAGAGGAAGGAACATTTTGTGGGGAAATGGGTGATCTCGTAATGAAAGTTTGTTCAGATATATTACAAGTTCACTTATTAGTAATAACAAGTATACCTGGTTGTCCGTACTTGCCCTTTATCCCAGAACAACAAGCTACAACGGAAACATTCTACATTAGCTTTAATACCTATGGTCCAGGTCATTATGATGCTACATCTTCGTTCGACGGTGAAGGTACGTAAAATAAATGAAACAATATTGTTAGGTCTGCAAAACCTCGTGGTATATACGTATATTTAGTCCGTTTGGAAAATGCTAATAATGCCACTGTGCAGTTTTTTCTCCCAACTAGCCTCCAATATAAACCCGTATTGACAGCTCAAAATCGCAGCTGAGGTTGGTATCGCGATTCTGCGATAACTGCATTTTGCATAAACTTCGATAAACTAAGAGAAGGAATCCTACCTATATAGCCTTGTAACCATCATGTG